CGTTCAGGTTCGTAGCCATACAGATTGTGAATATCTAGTGCACAGAGCACATCACATATCCACACTGCATTTTATAGACGCGGGAAAACACTGTCCTCGCGAGTTTCTAACAAGCACACCAGCACGCCACAAAAACATTTGTCAGGCTTGGTAGTCCTTGTCTGTCGAGCGACGAGATATAGTGTATGCAAGTATGTGCCAAGGTATATGTAAATTAGTTACGTCACTTTCACAGAAACCCATGCATACACTAGTCGGGAACCCGTTGCCACCGTCGTCTTCTACGGGAGAAGGGGACAATGAACAGCGAACAAAAGATAAAAAATTTATAACGTTAAAACTGCAACAAGTAGTGACGTCGCGCTTTTTCTTACATGTCGCGAAATCAATTTTTGTTTTTAATTGATGACCTTTTACTTGCCGTTATTATTACGCAACTTTTTTTGCGCCTTGCGACTCCCTAATTCCATGAGTGAGAGAAAAACGAAAAAAAAAACATAGATTAAGGAAGAAATGTTCTTTAATTAGCTATATGATATACTTACTTTATGCACGAAAAACTTGGCACAGACGATTATGAGACAACTGTACACGAGAACAATTGCATAACAGTTCAAAAACTCACGTTGCCCATCGTCGAAAACCAGCAAGAAGAACAGCAACTTTGAAAAATTGCTTTGGCAGCTGTAAAGTACGGCGTCTCGTTGCTTAGCGTGTTGCGGTCACCGTCAGCGAAGGCGAGGGCACGCCGGCCCTGCGCCAGCAAAAGCAGTCGGCACTCACAGGAGCAGTCATCTACACATCTTGTGAGGTAAATCAGCTCTGACTTTTCACACCAGCGAACAGCACACACAAAATAAGCAAACTACTGAAGGTACTCACGAAGCTACCTTAGAAAACTGAGCGATGCCTCATTGACCTGGCAGTGCGCCGAACCAAAGAACACGCCACACTAAACAAAAGATCTAATAGCAAGTTGCCTGGATATGCCCACCTCTTCCCCATTTATGTAATTTGACAAAAAGTGACACAATGAACCATTTATCCAGGTGTGAATTACACTGCAAAGTGTATAGTCAACTTTTACATATATAAGTTTACGACATTTTGAAGAAAAATTTATATTAAGTTTTCAATTTTGGTTGTTTGTCCCCTTCTAACCTAGTCGCCCTTCAATCATCGATGGGCGTTCATGCATGTGGCAATAAAATTCCGACAGTTCTCGTTCCAAGTTTTGCGACCCGTGTAATTTGGCCATGTGTGTGCAGCGAGTCACACCGGTCGACAAGGAGTGATGTCAGAGCGCCCTGCAGAAGTGGTGAGCAGGCCTGAAAAAATTTAGAGGCGGCGTTGGCAAGGTCGATACAACTAGCAGCGAAGGCTTCGTAGAGACCCATAAGTTCAGAAAATAGCACCTGATCAGTTGTTCATGGGGCTTAGCACCATCTCTGTGAGGAGGGAACACTTCCAGTAGAACAAAAATTAAAGTGGATGTGACGTGATAGCTGGCAAACAAGTGACGTCATTTGGTGTGTGATAGCACGAAATGTGATCTCTAATTACTTTTCACAATCCTATGATCGCCAAGGGCTCGCGCTGAGGTGATCGCCGGTGAGCCCGACACCAAAGCGCTGCAAGTCAACGCCACGTAATTTATTATGAACTCATCTCTAGAAGGTGATGTTTAAGTGTAGGGCTGCTCTCTTTGCTTTGATTTGACAAGGAAACCTATTCTTCGAACTTTTATTTGGCGTTCGTAGCATCTGCCGCAAATAGATGAAAGCAACCAACAGGGTATACCTGTCATAAATCCGCGTTGCTCATTTGCTTCTCACATAGGGGGGTTCTTTAGCACGCACAATGCCTGTGTTCTTCAGTTTTAACAGAAAGAAATGACGCCTAGTCACGCCAAAATTATGACATTTCAGTTTTGTTCAGTGGTAACAACCGCTCAAATTTATTAGACTGCCCACAATGTTAATAAGGACAAAAAGTCCACGGACACTATTTTGTTATCTCTTTTTTCCCGTTCAGATCTGACGAATTGCCGCTACGTATGCGAATGCAGACATGCAAATTGTAGCATCATGTAGCGTGATAGATAACTTGGTGATCTCACCGATAACGCCACACTGCATGCTCAATAAGGGGACCGGGCTGCAGGAGGACTGGTAAATGAAAGTCCTGCGAGCACTGTATTCCAAACCATTGTCCTTGTTTCCTGTCTGGAAAACATAGGTCCCCAGGGAAACGTTTGTTTCTTCTGCATCCTTGTACAGCACATCGTAGATAACCAATGTGCAGCAACCGAGAAGCACTAAAACAGGTGAGGGCATGGCTCATCGCTGACGAGTTTTACGAGAATGCGTTTCCACGTAGTGCAAGAGCTGCACTGTGTAATAATAGCGCGAGCGACGGGCGCTAGAAAAAGCATTTCTTGAAATAATAAAAAAACTGCCGTAAATTATTCACCTATTAGCTTTACACATACATAATACTGTTGGGGAAAAGAAATGTCACCCATAAAACATAGCGAAGCGATTGCTTCGACTTTGAATCAAACTTCGTTTTTGAATAATAGTATTTCTTCCGTCCACATTTCATTGCGCTTCAATCGCAGCCCCTATAAGTCCCTATGCTGATGTCGTGGCAATAGCTTCTGAACTGCTTTTCGCCCGAACTTTCACAACTTATTTAAGTAGAACATTGGGGGGGGGGGGGGGGGGGGGGGGCTACGAAACCTAGGTGTCACAAAACCCACTTTGCGAAACCATGACGAAGAATGAAGGTAATAGTAATACAACAAGTTTATTAACACCTAATAAAAATAAGGAGTTAGCACATATTGACAGGTTATATCCAGCATGAAAGAAGCTGAATTTAGTAGTTTGGTCATTGGTTCAGCAGAAAGAGGGTTTGGGTAGTTTCGCCCACTGAATTTCTTCGTTACAGAAAAAAACACACAAGGGACAAAGACCTTTCTCATACCTTTGTCATATCGTGTTCTGCCGAATTATAAGAAAAGTAGTTTTTTTAGCAACGAATGCTCATTGCATTCTTCTTTGATCTGAGAGTCCCAGAATCGCCGTAACAGAACAGTTTGATTAAAGGGCACTTTTAAAGAAGCCTTAGGTGTAGACAGAATATGTTTGCATTGTCTTTTGGAGACCATTTTTAAACAGCAAATCTCAACATGCTTTTCAAAATATTGTAAATTAGACAGTGCAGCCATCGCGTACAACAGAAAAGAAATATTATGATGCCTTGTCGCACGATCCTATACGCCAGAGCAAATAAGATATTGTTTGTGTTATTAGTGCCTGTATTTGATCTATTCTTCAGAAATACCCTTGTGTCTTTTCGAAGTTTTTTTAAATTGTAGACTATACAATCATTTTAGATGAGCTCTCTATCAAAAAACACAGATATTGATTTTATAGAATTGAGATATTCAGTTGGCTACACTAACAGGAGGTGCACGCAACCATGAGGGCAAAGTAGAAGTGTATTAGTCCAACAACTTTTTAGGTTTTTTTTAAGAAAAGTAGTTTCGTTTTCTTTCTGTTTAATCCACAACAAATTGGTAAACCATGACGGAACCTCAAAAACAGTTTTGCAGTTGCAACAATGGTTTATTGTTAAAGACGTGTTTTGCAAGCAGAACCGTTGCATCTGCACGCTGAAATACAAAGAATTTAAAAACAGCTTCGGTAAAATCTTTCAAAAATAAACAAATGAATAATTGAGATAAAATGTATTCCTGTGGCCCACCAGTTTTCAAGCGAAGCCTATCGCTTAAAGGTGGCTAACAGTGAAACTGAACAACCTGAGAATGATCAAAAAGAATTTTTAAGAAGGTTGTAGATTGTACCCCGAAGCTCAGAAGAATTTTTTTCAAGCAGTACGAAGTGAATGAAGCACCGTTTTTGAGGTGCTGAGAATAATGGTGAACCCGGAGGTTGCCACGAGTGCTATAGCCGCTTCCTCGGCTTCACTGTGCAGTGCTATGATGGAGGCGGCTACTCGTAAGACTGCATTGGTGTTACAAATCGCAATTACACTGAGCACGTAGGCACACTATTGTTGTTCGCAACGCGTAACCGCATCGGGCCGCCAGGCGTAGGCGTCGTATAAGACTTGTGCTTGTGCTCGATGACGTCCATCGTGGTACCAAGCAAGGATGTTTTTCGGCAATGGCTTCAGCAAAAGACGTCGACGCAAGCGTAGCGATATGAATCTTAGGCGTAAAAGCATTGCTTAGTGGGGCTGTAATTGATGCTTATGTATTTTTTTTATTTTGGCGTGTACACTTATTCAGAGCACTTCGTCCTCAACTTCAGTTCGCGAGCAACAAAGCGCGCCAATTATTTTTATTTGGTTTAGTTTTTGCATTCACATATTATATATTTATCGAACCCTGATTAGTTTTTGGTTTGTTATGCTCGTATATACAAAGAAAATATTTGGGCCTTGTCTAACATGCCCATTTTTATATTTACAGGCGTTTTCTATTTATTTTCAAAGGAGCAGTGGCGCGTTTACCTTAATTTTGTGAAACATACCTTATAGTTTTTTTTAACGTTCTATAGGTGATTTCTTGCTTGGTAACTGTTAGCGGACTAACGAGTTGGTGGCTTAAATACTGCTTCACTGCAATGCCCTCTGGCGTAAAACGATTCCGTGTGATAATCTCCAGTTCTCTACCATGGCTCAATTGCGTCAGTAGTCAATGCCGTGGTGCCCCAAGTTTTTAGAATGTCAGTGACTGAAGGCAACCGAAGCCTGAAGTCGACAACCGACCTTTAAAAAGAACTGGCCATAGTTCATGTTCCATCTGCATTATTTCTGAAAGGAACCACAATTCTACTGTGTGTCAAGCTGATAAAACCAGTTTTGAGGCTTGTTGGACCTTCTTGACTCCCAGTATTAGCATTTTTCAACCTCACCAGCACTCAAAGCTGGGCTAACGGCTTTGAATCCCTATTCAAACACTGAACTAATCTAGAAAAGACTTTATTGCAGAACACGTAAATGACGTCTTCATGTACTATTGTAAAAAAAAGAAAAGACAGGGCACCTCGAATAACCATGAGTTCACTTTTTTTACAAAATATAATAGTTTATTCACCCACGCAATGAAGGTTTCTTCGTTTCCTTCTTAGTTGGCTTCGCTGTTGTCGTCGTCATCACATCGAGGCACACACATTCTCCTTTTACGCATTTCCCGAGGTGGTTATTTGGGCAGTCATTCCTCTGCAAACAATCAAAAAAATAAAAAACACAAGCTTTCTATACTTTTTAGAGTTTACTGAGTACTTTCGCATTTATCGCATTTGTTTATTTTCCAATGTCACTTATTACTGTACTTCAGTGGCTCTTATGTCAAGTGACTGCTTTTAAGTTGATCGCATTTTCAAATATGAAATCGGCTTAGAAGCAAGAGTAACAGAGTCTGGGTGGAAACTAAAAAAAAAAAGCAATACCACTCGATATTGCTTCTATGTCGTCGTCTCATGTAAGCACTTTAGAATAATTGGCGAATGTCACTAAGTTGCTCTAAATAAAAAAAACATGACGCAATTTCAGGAAAAAACAATGTCATTTTTAAATGAATTATTACAAATTTCGCCTAATACTTCAAGTTATACATACGATTTCTAAAAATGTTTCTCTACCATGTGTGCAACTCAAAAGCAGTCGTACCTTGACTACACATTATCTCAAATCTTTATCGGTGTTACGGCATGTATGGTGACTGCATGAGATTTCCGATTAACAGAACTGGTTCAAAGTTTGTTCATTGCATTGCTGTGAAGAAACTCCATGTAAACAGGAACAAGATTCATTGAGCCTGTAGGCTTCTCGTAGCCTCTTTTTCAATTTGCTGACAAACAGTTATAGATCACTACAAGGCATAGTTACTCGTGTGTTCCCCTTCTTTTAAGGACATCATGTAACATTTCAATGGATAGCTGCTCATTGTGACATAATGGGCAATGAAGAGGCGGACGCTGAAGCTAAGACAGCTTTAAATAGTGCCCCGGAAGTGTGCATCGCATTTTCTCGACAAGATACTAACATATTCTTTCGACGCGTAATGCGCAACTCTATCTTAGACCACTGGCAGAAACCAGAACACCAGCACAAGCGGCTGCCCGAATGGGACCTGTAAATGAAGTTCTGTATGCCTCACAAGTTAAAGTGAAGCATCTCCTGCATTATCCACCGCATTCACCTCAGTGTAGCTTACACGAGACATTACACCCACTTGATTGGCTGTAATGACACAGGTCCCAATTGTGGTCACTGTTGATTGCCAGAAACGCTCGAACATATAATTTGCGGCTGTCCAGCGTATGCAAGCGAACGTCAGCAACTGATATCTTCGATTGGCTGGTATATTAGTCGACCATTAACCGATGAGGTTGTGTTCGGTCCTGGGCCTGACGCCAGCAGCACACATGTGGTTATACGAGCCGTCATCGCTTTTTTAGAAGCCACTGAACTGGATGCACGTCTGTAGAGTTACCCAGCCTAATAAGAACATATCATCTCTCTACCTTACCATCATCATTCATCTTTCTTTCACTCCCCAGTCACCCTTCCCCAGTGTAGAGAAGCAGGCCAGAGCAAACTATAGTTCAGGCCGATCTCTCTACCTTTCTGTAAATAAATTCTCTCTCTCTTCTTTTAACCATTGCCCAGGGTTTTATTAGTCACAATTTTAAAGCCTCTAAGCTGGCGTATGCTTGCCGCGACAAAGCCAAATATCCGCCATTCATGAAAGGGACACTAAAGAGGAACATGAACTTCCTTTAGATTAACAAACTGCAATTTCAGAACTCTAATGGCATATGTTTCACCATAAAGATTTTTTTTTATTAGCAGAGGAAAAAAAAGGTGGAAGTTTCACTTTCAAACTTCGCACCAAAATCTCTATGCGCGACGTCAGAAGTTTCTTGGTGTATTTTCGGTGTCTTTTTGGCATTGGCTCAATAGACCTTTCTGGAACTTAGTATGCAAAATTTATGGCACCCACAGGTACCAACGTACTTCATTTTTATTGATTGGATGCAATGTAGGACCCAGTAAATGCCTTCCAGAACTCTTATTTTTTGTGCGTAAATCTCAACTTGGCGTCACCACACACGTTTTGTCTTCGCGCGTTTTCTTGCTTACTAAGCGCCACGTGGCAGAAAGAGTAGCATTCTAGGAAATGTTTTATACACAAAAAGTTGTTTTACTCTTGAGTGTCCCTTTAAAAGCCTTGAATATGAAACGAAGAGCCTGACAGGTTATACATATCTTCATAAAGGCTGTGCGCTAACACTGCAGTTTCGTTTAGTTTCGATTCTCACCTTGCAGAGGTGACCATGATGGAAGTGCATGGGCCCACATCCCAGAATTTTCTGCAAAAAAAGAGGGTTTGCAAAGATCAATTTGAATGAAAGCAAAGCATATGCATATACTTGATAAAGGAAACAATTATGCCTTGCCTACGTGTTTGGTGAAACATTTTATTGAGTTTGAAAATGTCACTGCTGCAGTACAACTGAATGGGCATTTCTGTGTGCCCGTGATAATATATATGTATAGAAGTTTCAGCACTGCTGTATCGTTTCTCAACGCATTTCGTTCAAGTATTGGCTGAACAGGCGCGTAATCAGGTGCCGAGTCTGCCCTATACGTTCACTCAGCGGGACACGTCCTGTCGTTGCTTGAATTACATGGTAGTGCCGTGCCTGTTTTGGCGATAATGACGTGGCCGAGAACCAATGAGGATGCGGTGCAAGACTGTTTAATCCCAAAAACTCGGGGAAGAGCGACAGGCCACTGCAGAAATCCCGTCATCGCTTCATTCCCATTTGCCGCTTTTTGTTTTGTATTGAGCCAATTAGAGAGCGGGCAGTGCGGCGTGAGTTCACCTTCTCCCAAAATGAACCCTGCGCATGCTTATGAGCCTTAGATACCGTGATAATCTCGCATCTGGTGAGGTGATGTCTTTGTTTTATTTAGGTACGACTCATGCTTTCTTTGGTGGCTTGATTGTTCCTAAAAATGTTTCGTAATTCTGTTCTTCTAACTTTCTTTATCCACCTGTACCTAGACATCGATTATGTAAACAAAAATTAGTCCTTTGGTTGGCTTAACGCACAGCACACAACAACTTGAAATTTCCTAACATAGGCTTTGTTTATGTGTTCTCGATTGCCTGCTTGATATTTGCACATGTTCTCAGCATATTTATGGCAGGAAAAACAGATTTTGATATCACCCGTTTCTTTATTTATATTTTCACAGAATACTTAGGTCAGTATATTGCTGTGGAGTTGTGGTTATTAGTATGCGGTAGTGTGCGCAGGAGAGGACAACGACGTGTTGGTGTTTAAAAAATACAACACCCGCTATCTAGACTGCAGGAATATTTTTCAACTGTAAAGTAGTAAATATGTCCGCAACAATATGAACACAATAGACTGGTTACAGAAGTGTAAATTATGCATACAGGTCCTTAGCAAGAAAACTGTATAAAGTCTCCACGTGTTCTGTGTGCTGATCCAACTTACATAATTTGGTTTGGCGACTCGCAGCCAGAGTCCATTGTGCAGAAAGTTTTAGTAAAGGACAAGACCATGAAGGTTAGCAGATCTGAACTGTCAGGAGTTTCCGTTCGCTTGCAAAGGCCAATAAATTGGCAGTACTTTTTAATAATACCAGAGCTTCCGTAGATATGTTATGCGACACCCACTTGACTAGATATTGTAATCTTTCGTTCACTATGATTTAGAGCATATAAAGTGAAACAGTATATTGCAGTCTGTAAAAAGAACAAGCCCCCGTGTCTATGGCGAAGTCCTCCAATAATTTTCTGTGATTCGAACAATCACTCTGACTTCAGTCAAAACCCGTCCGGTCTATAGACCACTACCCTCCTTCTTCGTCACTATGTCGGCGCCACGCACAGTATCCAACACCGTCAATATATTTTTTTGAACTGTAAACATAATTTTTTAACTTTTGAAAAAAGCAAAAGGAAATGGGAGAACTACGCTTATAAAATATATCGCCAGTGATATTTAAGAACATTCACTGATGACAGGCAGCATAGTTTCAAGTTTTTGAACGAGATATCAGGACGTAGCTGTCGAAGCATACTCTGAAAAAGTCCTTTTCTAGAACATAATGAGACGTACAAATATGCTGAAAAGGGCGACAAAATGTTACAATGCTCGTGTGCTGGAGCGTTGAGCACATATTTTCAATTTTATCGGCACAAGACTCGAATACACTCTAAAAATTCTGAATGCAGTTTCAGGTACACAGTATGAACCATTACTGGAGCGTTTATTCGTGCTTTACATAGCAAAGTAATCAAACCAACCTTGATTTATTCGAGTTCATTTGTAAAATCACGAATGTCAATACTTATCTGTTAAAAAAGCTATGGTTTATCTACACCTTGAATGGAACTCCTGGGGTTTTCAATAATTTTTCTTTGACCATAAAGCCAGAAAAAAGCTAAAACATAACCTATAGAAATGAAACCTTACGCACTTGGTACCTACATTAAGAATTTCAGGTATAAAATAATAAATCAGAATGCTCGCCACACTCTGCAGCGGTTCATTAATTGGATGAAGGGAAAGTCGAAAATTTTCCCAGACCATGTATATGAACCTAACGTTATACTCTGTGATTACGGTGCAGCAGGCACGGCTTTTTTTTTCTTCAGCTTACATTTTTCTGTACATTTCAGGTCACTTTGTCAGAAATCACGTGCGCGAATTAAGGTCTAGCAGCAAAAGGATAACATCTTGACAACTGGATGTGCCTTCGAGAATCGCAACAGAATAAAAAGGTGGGCTAATTGGTAACACATAATCGTTCATTGAACTGGGAGTGCTGTAAAACACACAAAAGAGACAAGAGAGAAAGCACACAGCTTGAGAGCTCACTGATAACTGGTTTATTCTCACGTTTGAAAGACACATAAAAATTGGGAGACCCTTAAGCTTCGCCTTTGAGAGTTGCGCGCGACAGCAAAATCCGGCCCCTAGTGTGCCCTCCAACCATTAAGCGCATACTTATAAATATGTTTTGTTACACACACACACGCACACGCCCACGCGCACACAAATTACGTATCTATAGTAATGAGTGACTGTGCAGTATGGCCACTTCCCTCTGCTAGAATGACGCTTTGCTGTAATCGAGACCCGTTTTTTAAACTGTATCACAGATGGCACATGGACACACACGCGCGAGCTCGGATGGTACATACAGGTTTCTGATATAAAGGAAGGGTTGCATGGTCCCCAAGATACACACCACGCGTGCACCATCTGGGCGGCAGAAAGAGTCTCAGAATGCCTCACAGATAGCAGCACTTTATCTAGCGTTTTTTGTATGCTTGATCAACTGAATGATTGATATGTGGGGTTTAACATCCCGAAACCACCATATAGTTATGAGAGACGCCATAGTGGAGGGCTCTGGAAATTTCGACCACCTGGGGTTCTTTAACGTGCACCCAAATCGGACTACACGGGCCTACAACATTTCCGCCTCCATCGGAAATGCAGCCGCCGCAGCCGGGATTTGAACCCGCGACCTGCGGGTCAGCAGCCGAGTACCTTAGCCACTAGACCACCACGGCGGGGCTGTATGCTTGATCAATGCTTCTGGAAAGGCATTATATCTTTTCCGCTAGATCAACCTAGTTGTCCATTTTTAGAGCTGTTTGGAAGTTGCTCTGTGTATTTAGCGGCGATGGCTGCCCTATTCCGGCCTTTTTCGACGTAGTTGGATGCCTCCCAAACGCTCCTACAAATCGTCGAATGGGCTCGTTTTTGTCGTGACACCTGTCGAAGAAGTTGAGTTAAGGATACTCCTTCTACTATATGGCAATTATGCAGTGTTTTTTTTTCCGACGCAGCTGCAAGTAACATCGTGGCTTTGTGGTAGGACCACTGCTTGCTACGCGAATGGCCCTGGTTCGATCCTCAAAGGAACCGAAATTTCATTGTTTGTCTTATTTGCTTCTTTCTTGTTTCTTCACTCATGGACCATTTTTCACTCACAACCAACGGTGCCAACGCCAATGGCGGATTTTCTGCGAAACGGGCTCTCTCACGCTATCGCGTAAATACATGAGAATGTGCATGTCAAGAAGACTAAGACAACAGTGCAAGCACCATACATGGCGTTAATTCGATGTACTTGTCTATGAATTATTTTAGAGTAACATTCACAGTAAAGTAATGGTAATGATGGATGGCTGACACATTGATCCTTATTGCTGGAAATGTGATACATTTGAGAAATTTCACGCGTAGTTTGACGTGGATGCCGAAAAAAAACTACTTCTTTGTTCAAATAACGGTTGCCATTGCAGGAATCGTAATGCGAAGCTACAATGAAAATTGGGGTACATTTCAGAGAACTGAACTGTTCCCTGAGGCGCGTACATTCACACATCGGCCAGCTTGGCCGATGTACATCCAGCCACAAGATAGCTATAAGCTATACAACACTTCTAAAATACACTTTACAAACTGTTTCGAGTTTTCTAAAGACATCCTCTGCCTTTAGGCGTGCCCTGCGCCCTTCTCTGAACCATGGCACATTATCGGCCTAATTTATTGAGTGAAGAGAAAACAACGCGGACACCAAATCTTCTCTCCACAATTTTTAGTCCATTCGCCAATTTATGAAGGCAAGGGATGGCGACCACGCATTTGTTTACTTCATGGCATTCTGCAAAAAACACACAGACGTTATTCAGTGTTTTTACTATCCGCAGAAGCCTCAAACACACCAATGCATTTAATCTATTGATTGATATGCAGGGTTTAACGTCCCAAAATCACCGTATGATTATAACAGACGCCGTAGTGGAGGACTCCGGAAATTTCGACCACCTCGGGTTCTTTAGCGTGCACCGAAATCTGAGCACACGGGCCGATGCAATTAAATACGGTGGGTACCAAGCACGCCATAGCCGTTATAGCTGTGCTAAGAAACCACATTGTACCACATGGGTGCAGCTTTTAGTCAGCACTGAATGAAGACATGACAGTACAATTCTTCTTATTATAAGCTTGGAATGACCGGATTAGTAAACTTGAACAGGTTTTGCGGATAGAGAACTATAAGGCCAAGAAAGCTGATTGTCTCCAAAGAATAGAAAAGGGTCAAGAATTTTCAGCTTCTGCTTACTTGTAACCTCAATGGTAAACCAGGGGCCCATGCCCCTTGGAACCTCAGAGGTGAACCAGGGGCCCATGCCCTCCATATCGAAGTGCGCAAAGACAGCATCATAGTTCACTGCTGAAATTTTTTTTGTCACAAATCAGCGCGTACAGTGCTGTGTGCCTCCTTTTTGCTCCAACTGTGAGTTCTCCCCTGTGCTCCCTGTTTGCTGAACCTTCGATAATTTCAACATAATAGTCTCTAACTCGATATTATAGGAAGATAACTCAGGGTGAACGTGGGGAAAATTAAGCATTCACTGTTTTTCAATCACATAATCAATCTACAACTAATTTAGTTCTTTTTTTGCTAACAATGGCAGGGATACTGTTAATGATGGCACAGGAAAGCTGCTGCGTTATATTTGTGAATAGGTGCAAAAATTAACGTCCTGGCTGCATTTTTAATCATAGCCTGTTGGGAATTTCAGAAATTTTGTGGTTGATACCTTATAGCTTGTTTTCGCATACTCCGAAAAAGGTAACTTACTGCAATGCTAGTTTTATTAAACCTACCAATACGATAGACTGTTGAGTTCAGAACACTAGGAGATTCCTCAATAAGAACCGCACAAAAATATTGAACTGCGAAATTATTTCATACCTCGTGTCTTCCAACAGCTGTGGAATGAAATACACCAGTCGAAAAGTTTTCCCCTGCTGCATCGTCAGTCTTTATCATACTTGCCAGAAGAACTGATTCAAAAAAGAAAAAAACTAATTAACAATTTTGAAAGCTGCGTTTCCTGGTATTTCTAATCAGAGAGGACAACAATTCTTCATTGAAAATTTTGTTGAATAGCCAGAGAGGTTAGTCTGGCTATTCTTATGACACGACACCTGGAGTTTTGTGTCAGGAAGGTGTTATTATCTGTTAGTTCTTATTGATAATGTGACTAATTTATTTTTTTCTGCATTCAGGTGTTAGATTGGTATGTGATGGGTGGATGGGGCCAAACATATACGATGAAGTGCTCTGTAGAAAAAAGGAATATGGATTGTCAAACGAAACACTCTTTAAGATTTCGTCTTAACGGAAACATTTTAAACACCTATTTATTGTGCAATCAAATTAAGATTGAGGAAGATTTACTCACGGAGGGCACAAAAACGGCAGAAAGTGCGGCCCATGAGTCAGGATGAACTCTTCCTTTGCGATAAGAAACAGGCAGTCGTTTTAGCTGAAGTTTCATGAGCAGCTTTCACCTATACGGATTGCTTATATGTTGGCGGAAAGCGGACGGTGATGTCATAAATCTGGGGAAAAGCAGGGCGCAGCTATCGAGATTACAAAACAACATATAAAAAAAAGAAAAGAACTGGTCGTGCAATATTCAACATCTGCGAAGCGCATTTGCTGCGTCTGAGGAATGTTTGAGGGACGTAGAAGTCTTGCTCCGTATATTCCTCAATTTTTTGTAGTTTCGATGCCTGCATCGAAACTACAACTATAATGGCTAAAGGACCATCGTATGTTTTTACACAACTGAAGAGATGCTTGCACGTCAGCTGGGTGATGAGAATATCCAACGCCTTGCACGAAACCACCACGCAACGTCTTTCAGAAGCACGTTCGTCCCCGTTTCACGTAAAATAGGCGAGCACGTACAGCAAACATCACGAAAAGCACTGTGATGTACGTTTGGCGTGACAGGAAATGCCTACTCGTCGGCAATCTAAAGTAGTGCACGGCACTTCAAGCGAAGTCTGATTTATATGAGACTTGTACATGTTACAAAAAAGATGGGGCGGATTGGAATTATATTTACCGGCTTTTAGAGGTAATTGAACACCGTGGTAAATGACAGCCTTAAAACAGTTGCTGAACTACCGAAATGTAATCAATTACGAGAAAAATGTCACTGCATGAACAGGCCTACAAGAAACAGATACACAACACAGGCTCTAACTTCCTATGTTATGTGTCTTCTTCTGTTCCCATTTATTCAGCGATATTTTTTCTCGCCATCGGTACAACAAAGGCACTAATTTGAATTACTTTCGCTTTTACTTCAAAATTTTATTGCGGAGCACAATAATGTAAGTTTGCTAAAACTAATATTCATTATTGTTACTTTCCCGCTTGAGAGAAGGTGGATGCTTGTGTGAAAGCTGGGAGGCTTACCAAGGCCTCTCTAACAAAGTGTTCAGTCTCTGAGTCAACGCACAATTGGCACATGCATGCTCCCACGAAGTCTCCTCGAAAGGTTACTATGCTGTTCATAGGCAACCACGCAAATGTTAAGCGTAGCAGCGTAGTCAGATTGCCTAGAAAACGTGTCTGACTGGCGATTCACTGCAACAAAGAGCGCACAGACAGCATAAACAGCACGACACAAATTCAGTTCTTCTAGTGTAGTAAATACGCTGCCTCTCATTCGGCTTACGATAATCGATGCCAAAACGCAAGCTGCCGTCTTTATTTTTCCCGATTACCACTTGTGATAACCTAGAACCTTTTGGTGGTTGGATTACAACATTCTCTAGCATCTTCTGAACTTGCTACTGGATTACCTCACATTCTTACTGAGCGAGGCGATATGGGTTCTGTTAGATCGGTCTTGCTGTTTTATACATGAGGGTACAATGCTTGGTCAGAGGTGATTGAGCCATTTAAGACGTCGAGGAGAAGCAGTCCTTGAACTGGTAGAACAGTGTACAGAAAAGGAAGAGCCACCATCCCCATTGCGAAGCCCACCCGTTAACATTCCTTGTTCTGATCTGATCCTAACCTTAGTGTCCCAAGTCGTCTTTGACACAACATTCAACAACCAGCTCCATAATACGGAATCTTTCATAATGTACTGCGCAAAAACGGACAGAAACACGAAGTAGAGAAAAAGGACAGACAATTAAGCGCAAACTATTAACTCAAGTTTTATTGCAAGGCCGAGGCAGTATACAAAGAAAAGGATAAAATGCAAGAGAGGGCAAAGTAGGGGGAGAAAAGGCACGAAGGGTTTAACCCGGTCTTGCGATAAAGCTTCAGTTGATAGTGTGTGCTTGTCTGTAGTTTTCTTCCACTTCACGTTTCCGTCCGTTTTTTTTTCTTAGTACACTATGAATCAGTACCAACTTGGCCAACTAGTAATTCTTCTGGAATCTTTGAGCCGGTGTTAAACTCATACCGATGTTGACTGGTGGTGGATGCGGTGTTGAACAAGCCGTTGCATCCCCTTGCATAGCAAGGCAGTCGCTAGAGTAGTATGCCACAGCAGTGCCTTTACCGATGTGCCGGCGCTCATTCGTGAAGTTGGTGAGAAGGATCTCCGCACAGCTTATTACTAAGCTGACAATCCCATGTTCATAGCTGTGTTAGTTCGGCTGGTGGGATACTTCGAGAGCAAATGGACGACGTACAACATCTGCGTAGGTATACGAGTTTGAGTAGTACGATGGAGGAGAGTATTGTTCGGGAGAGGCAAGTGCTTATCGAAGTTGGTGGCGAACGACTTCTGCGACGGAAGCAACCGTGAACTCCTGCTTCGGGGGCACCTGTGAAGGCAATGTGCTCCTTGCGTTCTCCTTACCAATTTATTGCCGCGTGCATAGCTGTGTCCGTTCGGTTGGTTGGATACTTCTTGAGCCAATGGATGCCAAGCAACGTCTGCGTAGGCTTACGAGTTCAGCTGGTACGGCGGAGCAGATTATTACTCAAGAAAAGTAGGGACTTTGACGCCTGTCGAAGTTTGTGGCGAACGACTTCATCGACGGAGGCAACCGTGAACTCCTGCTGCGGGGTGTTAGGAATTTGCTGTGTCGCAAGGGTAGCGGTGGCGAAGAGCGGCGAGCCGTCGAGCGGACTTCGCTGAAGCCTTTGCCCAAAGGCGAAGCAGGGAGGCAATCTGTTTTGAAAACAGCAACAAGATGGAGCGTTTACTGTAGCAGGTTGTTTTTTTACAGAGCCGGCCAGCACGACAATGTCGGCTGGGGCAAATCCTCTAAACATGGGGCCGTCACGGCCTTAATTAACGTTTTGGTCTTTTCTGCGAAACCAGTTCCCTGGAACGACACAGTGGCTAGGCTGAGGAGACGCAGCCATACCCGGAACTGCAAGGTGATTCGGCGGAGGAAGCGACGTTATCCCCGGAACTGCATGGTTCTCCTGCACGGAAGGCGGCGTTGGGCGGAGGGAGACAGTTCGTCGGAACAGCGCTCGATCTCATGAGACGTGCTCCCGAACGAGGAAAATGTCCGTGGCATAACAGCACCCTCGCCGCCAGACAATGCATCCGGAGTTTTGAGCCATCAGCGCGGCTCGGAAGGAGGGATGCTGGTTGACCGCCGGCAGCCGTTCCGCTCTTTCCGCCCGTTGAGACTTTCATTGGCCTGCAGAGGTTCACTGGAACGACAAAGTCGAACACAAAGCCGTACCACTCTGGCCAAAACAAGCACCCTCCAAATGCTGATCAAATCGCCAGACCAGCAGAAACCAAATGTTTTCTCGAGATTACGCTGGGCTAACAAATAGCATCACGAGCAACGAATCTCGGGAGGAATACACAATGCCGACACTCCTTTACAGTGCATGACACTGCTAAACCAAACAGAATTTTTTTTTTCGTGAGCGATTCTCGATTGTGACCCGGGCAGATTTGGGACAATCGAAGCTGCCGAGGTTAACTGAATTTGGCCCCGAATCTACAATTTAGATTACCAAGAACTCCCGAATCACGCACATTTGCGTCGCCTGCAAGCATAAGATTGTCAAACTTCACAAAGTTCGTCCTCCTACAAGCTTTCACTTCAATGGGCTGAGCCAATTATCACCAAAACAAGAGAAAACATGCTTGAAAAGTAAGAAAGTAAGGATGAAAATCAAACTCACGTGCGTTATACAAAACAAAGTTAAAAGTTAATCTACACTGACATGCATAATAACACATAATGCTAAACACAGAAGGTATCTTAAACGGGCGCATTTAGTATGCCTTTTCTGTTAAAATAAAACACACTGACTGTTACCTTTCGGAATATTATGAAAACAAAATTGATCAAACAAACATATCAATCAATGTCAGCTTCTTCGATGAGAAGGAAAGTTAAACTTGCCAAAATTCAGACGCATTTCTTGCTCAACGGCTGACGACAAAACTAGAAAAATATTTTTCAAAGCTGATTACAATAATCATTCTTTGTAATGGCAAGACGAACTCTGGGGAGTGGCACACTCCATAGCTTTCGAGGGATCCGGTCTTGACAAATGCACAACGAACAAAGCTGTTTGCCGAACTCGGTAGCAGCAACTTTTGACGTACAGCCGCTTAACCCAAACAAGGTGGCATCTGCCCTGCACCTTTACCCAACCATTTTGACCCGTGACCATTTCGCCACGGTGGGAAACAACAGCCAGTGTTACGGCTCAGGCGTAAGCTATGCTTTCCTCTACGCGACAGTGAAAAAAAAGGAGACGAGGCGAACATCTCGGCGTCCGAATTTTCCTGAAAGTCGGTTTTTCTCAACAAGCTTCCCGTTCAATCTCGAACACCACTACAATCGGCACTTCAAATATTTCATAGAGGACCTTTTCGCGATCCTACGCCTATCCCTGAACCTGGCGTCTCGACTAATGACGTCACAGTACTTAACGGCGGCTTTAGCGCGCTTGGCGCCAGTCGTCTTTACCGCTTTACGCTTACACCGACGCCTCTTTCTGTTCGAACTTCTCAAAATACTGGCAGTCTCGACACACTTATCACAAGTGTGCTGCCTTCTTTGTGTGGAGTTGAAGCTCCCGATTTGCTAGCTAGCGTACCCTCGGGCCCGTTGCTAGCAGTCTCTGCCTGTGACAGAACAGGAGTCCCGATGACTTTGAAGCTAACCAGCACGCTTACAGAGCTTTCAATCGGTGGGGGTCTATCGCTGTCGTGAATAGCCCTTTTTTTGGCCTTCAAAGTCGGCTTTTTGCGCTCTTTCACGAGCTTTATTCTGTAGCACCTTTAGTCGCGCATCCTGAGGTTTCCGATGGGCCTCCGCCCCTAACTTCTCGTGAGGCTCCTCAGTGTCCGGCTCTCTCTGACGCCCTTCAGCGGCTTGCACATAGCGACGGGACTGAGCCTCTTGCACTTTCCGTCTCTGCTTATGATTACGCGCTTCTCGACGCGCTTCTACTTCTAGCGCTCTTCAGTGAGCCTCATTTTCACGAGCTTCCACCTTCGTCGCCTTACGCTGCGCCTCATTTCGCTCTT